CTTCATGTATAGGTCAGTATCATCTTCTAGAATGTTATACTATACAGATATTATACTAATAATAGTATACGATAATTCCGTTGGAATATCTACTATGACATCTCTATCCTATCCTTACCGACGACATGTCCAGAGTAGATATGTGACAGGTCCATGTGTTGAATCCCTCCTGACGTCTCTAACTGAAAGTCCCTGCTGAACATACTGTTGTCTCTGCTCAGCTGGAGATGGAAGTCCCTACAACAGGACAAAACATTTTCTCATGGTCATGGGCAGCTTGAATTATATCATATCTGCAAGCATTCTTATTTATTAAGGCCACACCAATTTAATTTGTTGGCTCTCAGATTTGCCTCTTCATTTTTTTTCTGACTTGCAAAATAAATGAAACTAGAGGTCGGAGATCTCACGTCTTCGTCAGAGGTACATCGTTCTAGAGAAATTAACATGCGTATTCTTCACTCTTTTTAATAATCAATTTGGTCTAAAGAACAAAAGAATCTCTGTACTATTTTTATGGTACAGAACACCCTGAAACAGTTTGCCGCAGATTATACAGATGCGTCGTCACCCGTGTTAGCCCCCCCCCTACGTTATTTGAGTTTGGACTGTTACTGGAAAAAAAAAACGTTCAAGAAATTCTTACTGTGTTGAAAGTGTCACGACAGCGCCGCAAAATAAGAGAAGATGTTATAAAGGAAAGAATCAGAACAGGGTGACTACTGGCTGCTGTTTTGTTAATTTGTCTTTATGACAAATAGAAGACTTGTGTTCTTTGTGTCCTAACATTTGTACTTCTACAGTTAGTATATTCCAAATCTAGGCATCTCATTTTTCGGCCCTTCGTGTTTTTACTGCGCGCTTGCCTTAAATTTAAGGTAATTAGATTTAAGGTCTCCAGTGGACGTCATCCGTCATCCTTTTGCAATTACTTGGTGTGGCCGTAGAAAATAACCTGACATATGTCCAACCTATCCTCCCCCTGCTGAAGTTATAGTACAATCCCTCGATGTAACGTCATTTGATCCCATCCCATTATGGGGTTCCCGGCTATATCCAGCTGTCGGCTGTCTCCAAGCAGATGTAGGTGGGGGATTTCTAAACACAAAAGGTCCTATTACGGGGACATAACGACCTCCACGACTCTCATCTTTGAACTCAATCTTGGAGACCACTACAGTAACATGCCTATCAAATTTCATTAACTTCCATCCACACATACAAAAGTTATCCTGCTCACAAGAAAAATTAACAAAATGCCCCCTGTAGTCACAACGAAACCCCCCACGAAGCTCAGTAACGAACTTAACCTTGGTCCTGACAATAGTAAGCACCACACCAAGAATTATAATCAACATTTTACAAATACTTGAGTTATCTTGCTAACAAGCCACAAACACAAAAGGTGCACTAACGTGACGCACGGACCCCCCACGAAGCCGAAACTTGTACTTGACTTTGGCCTCAACAGCGGTAATCTGCCTGCCAAAAATCATGGACGTCGAATCATGCCTTCCAGAGTTATAACGCAAAATCCGCAGTTCCCCACACTCCGGCGAGACAATTTCATAGTCCTTCTGACGAAGACAACTAAATGATGGAAAGACGAAAACGATGCTTGTGGGAACAACAAAGAAAACCAGGCAAGCACCACCTTTGGAGCTGGAGCTAGTGGGACAACGTCTAGAACAATGTCCCTCAGTAAGGCTACTTGGACTTCATCCTTCACAACCACATTGCTCACATAGTTAAGAAGTGCAACAAAAGCTTGGCACAGGTGGGAAGGGTTAAGGACTTACTACCACATCGGCAGAGAATAGCCGTAGTCAACGCCTTAATAATCCCACATATAGACTACTGCTGCTCCGTATGGGGAAACACAACACAGAACAACATAAGAAGACTACAGGTGGATCAGAACAAGACAGCAAGGCTAGCTCTTGGTTGTGATCGGGATGCACATGTGGACACCATGCTGAAGACCTTGGGATGGCTGACTGTCAGGGACAGAATCCAACAGAGAAGCCTTGTCACATTTAAACGTATCATGCTCACCAAACAACCAAAGGCCTTGTATGACAAAATCACATTCCAGTCCGAGATTCACAAGTACCGAACACGTTCAACCAGCACAAACAAAATCAGACTACCAAAACCAAAATCAAACTCTCAGAAAAAGCGCTTTATATACAGGATGTCACAGTTGTGGAATAACAAAGGCAACTAGCAAAGTACTGGGTTGTAAATAGTGAATTACGTTAAGTTTGCCATGTACTGTTAATTTTGTAATGTTTTGTACGTTTGTAATATATGTATGTAAATATGAATGTGCAGACCACAGGAAGAATAGCCTCTTATGAGGCTAATTGTGGATCTGAATAAAACTGAAAACTGAAACTGAAAAGGACACACAATAAAAGCATGAATAAAGGCAAGGGCTAGGGCACAGAAGCCCAAAATACATATTTTTGATCAGAAAATTGCCAAGAAGTCCAAAATTCTACCATTTTAATAGTGGTATATGCGAAAAGCGCAAATGACGTTCTGTGGTCAAATAAATGTCTGTGTAAGTAAAGACGAGTCACCCTTATACCGAATTTCAGGTCATTTGGTTTAAATGCCAGCAATCAGAAACCCGGAAAAAGTTTTCTAGGCCTATGTTAAATAAAATGAAAGCTTTCAAAGCTTCCAGTTTCGTTTATTTTCACATTGCCACGCGCCTCCGACACTGCCCCGGAAGTCAGAACGGATGTACCAATGATTGCACAGTGTAGGAAACTTTTGGACATATATATATGTTCTACCCGAGTCTTGGGAGTATTTTCCTGAGTGTACATAGAGACATGAAGCCTCGGTCCCTTGAACCACATGATTTAGTAGTAGGCATCTCATCGGTCTCGTAGGACCATGAAGAAGAATCATCTTCTACATCATGTGCTTATTTTTTTTTGCTTTACGCTTAAAGCGTCTGTGTTCTGATGCGAGTCTCTGTTTTTCTTCCCCCTGTTGTAACCCCTTCCTAACTTCCTGTTTATGATTTATATAGTAGTTAAATTTAAGTGTCTTTATTTTAGAAACCAAACAGGCCTCGTGTCACAAAATACACCTGGTGTTTGGTAGACATTGTAAACGTTAATCTTGCATTAATTTCAGATATGTATCTTTGATTAAAGAATTGCATTTTGTGTTACAAAATGGTAACTCCAGGCCCCCGTCTGAGTATGGTGTGAAGCCTGCGAGTACGAAGTTCCGGATGCTTCATCCTGACTTCATGAGGTATCTGAAGTATCAGTAAGTGTGGATCTACCTTCTTATAACAAAGTAGAAGATGAAGCCCACTAGTACTTTGTCGTTGATTGTAGTTTATATAGTAATGATGGAAATGATCTTTTTAGATGTATTACAAGTACGTTCCTGTACTTCCAATACTTGACTGATATTGAAAAATTTTATCTTTTTTAAGTTATGCGCTTTCATCATCCTGTATTAAACAAACCCCTTTTCAAATTATATTTTTAACATCACAAAGAAACGAGAAGAAGCCGAACCTCTGTATTAGTGTAGTTTTAGAGCTATTTGTACTACAAACCGTTATATTACCATTTCATCTGTTCACCTGTACTTAGCCCAATAGGGCATGAATGTACAATAAAGGTCATTCTTATTATTTATAATGACCACTTTGTAATATAGAGAAACAGATAGAATGCAAAAACATTTAACTGGTCTTCCTTTTCAATCTTGGAGATCGTTTTTGGACAACGCCTGCTTGTAGAAGTTCACACATTATTTCAAGAAGTTGTTCCCAGAAGGTCTTGGCTCGTGCACTCAATACTGTAGTGTTTTAACGTATAGGCATCTCTTATTAGCCTGGTATCCAGTCTTACGTGATTGGGGGTATTGGGGTGTTATGGCAGGTTGTACTTTGGGGGCTCTAATAGCTTCCCCCGCCCAGTGCAACAGACCGTCCCGGTAGGAGAGACGGTATGCTTGGGGATTTGGTTTCCCCCCAACACGATGTTCGTGGATGGCTAATCCATCTCTCGTGAAATACACACCGGGAAGCGAGCTCTTTCGGCCCCGACCACGAATCAGACTGGATACCAGGCTGTTATAATTTCAGTTGGCTGAACTCTTCCCGTGGCTATGGACGGTTCGAAGGCATCTACCAACCCTCCAAGGGAGCCATGATGTTACTGGCCGCCTTGCATACCTGTGACGTCACGGACGCCTATGGCTTCCTCACTGCCGATCACGCACAGTACAGCGATCATTATTACGAGAAAGACTGGCAGAAATTTGTATTTTATGTCAATCATGATTTTAAGATGGAAATGAAATTATGGGATGAACTAGACAAAGCAGGGCTTATGGCCTTGTATAGAGGAAACAAAACTGAAGCAACCACCTCGCCAAAAATAAACTGACGAAAAAATAAATTTGTATCCTAGGCCATTTGTATCCTAGTCGCATTAACCTAAACTCAACAAATTGATATCATCTGACTGTCTGAATACTAGTAGTATAATGTAGGCGCTTCATACATTTGCATGTAAATAAGCTCATCATGGATTGATGAGAGAAAAGCCGCTGCATTCACTTAAAGCTATACTTCCACAAGGAACAAGTGAAAGGCTTTCTTTTTTGTACTGAACTTGTATCTTTTCTTTCTAACCAATCTTGTGTATGCATTTTATTTCACAGATTTGGGACAACTTTAGAGTATTTCTAAGTTCGTATTATTTGGAATTTGACCTCTGACCACCTCTGACTGAACGTTTCATTATCATCATTTTATGTTACATTATTTCTTGTACATGTATCATGTTTCCATGGGCTCCTTGGAAATCAGCCTCAACGGCTGAAGGGACTACCCATTTGTTTGTAAGATTAATAAATAAATAAAATAAAATAAAAGAGATATCGTTTGACAAAACCCAAAGACTTCTTCGCTTTGGAGGTGATATGTTGTATATGTTGGGACCAGGAAAGTTGATTGTTCAAAATAACCCCTAAATACTTACGGTTGGGCTTATGTTTGTGAGTAACGCGCATAACGTAATTTGACAGGATGTCTTTCCATCTGCCAGACGTTCTGCCATGTGTCAAGTGTGTTCTTGCAAGAGGATGTGGTCTCTGGCTATCAATTGGCTACGTCCAAGATAGGACTACTAGTATTCTAACTTGTGACATATGTAATTGAGAACGAGAGGAACATCGACAGATATTGATTATGTTTACAAATAAAGACCTGACTTGCATAATTAATGAGAGAATGCCGTGGAAACTGCCGAGAATGTCGTACTCACATGTGCTGGATTTGGAAGTTAAGTGAACATATTTAAACAGAATCTATTCAACAACTTTAACAGATAACTTATTAAAATCACAACTTCATTTGCATAATTCATGAGGAAATGCTAGAATGATCTAGCCTTCTATGTCATGAGACAGAAGTAATAGCCTTCTATGTCATGAGAAGACTGTCACCAGTGGGTGGAGAATATGATCAACTGATTGTCTTCGTCAGAAGGACTAAGAAATTGTCTCGCCGCATTGTGGGCGACTACGGATTTTGTGATATAACTCTGGCAGGCATAATTGGACGTCCATGATTTTTGGCAGACAGATTACCGTTGTTAAGGACAATGTCAAGTACAAGTTTCGGCTTCGTGGGGGGTCCGTGCGTCACGTTAGTGCACCTTTTGTGTTTGTGGCTTGTGAGCGAAATAACTCAAGTATTTGTAAAATGTTGCTTATAATTTTTGGTGGGCAGATTACTATTGTCGGGACCAAGGTTAAGTTCGTTAATGGGCTTCGTGGGGGGGGGGGGTTCGTTGTCACTGCAGGGGGCGTTTTCTTAATTTTCTTGTGAGCAGGATAACTTGTGTATATGTGTATGGAAGTTAATGAAATTTAGCAGGCATGTTACTGTGGTGATCACCAAGATTAAGTGCAAATATGAGAGTCGTGGGGGTCGTTATGTCCCCGTAATAGACCTTTTGTGTTTGTTTGTTTCTTTGTTTGTAGTTCAAGTTCCGATGTGGCATTAGTCTAGATTTTTGTATGGTGTATAGGTATAGTAATATAGATTTAGTGGTGTAAGTTTGAACTCTTTTGTTTTATAGGAATGTGGAAAAGAAGTTATATTGTTTGTTTTTTGTTCTTCTGGCGTTGTCTTGTATGTAGGTCAACGACCTTATGGCCAATTATCAGAGTATGACAACTGCTGTATAGTTGTGCTAGATCTGCCTTTTATGTAGGTCAACGACCTTATGGCCATTGGTCGGTACAAGCAGAACAGTTGTCAGCTGTCCATGTTATTTGTATACTATTTGGTATTCAGTTTTCTGTTCCTTTTTTGTTCTTTTGGTTGGTTATAGGCAGTAAGCCTCCTTTGCATAGGATATTTGTGCTATATATAAGTGTTGTGTGTTCGATGAGCTAGGTTACAGTTCTCAACAGTATTTCTTTCATGGTGAAGTTTCCTTGGATTTCTCGGTGTCGAGACCTTAACTATATGGTATGTGTTTATTTTTTCCCTTTAGTTGCGTATTCCAGTAGTATGTTTTGCGTACAAATAGTGAAACGTCAAGTGGTCGGCGTTACTTTGCGTCGCAAAATGTAGGATAATGCGTTATGGAAGGTTTTGAGGGGCGGTCCTATAAGTACTGTCATGGAGGGGGAGGAAAAGTTGGACATGTGTCAGGTCATTCCCTAAATTGTAAGGCCAGACCAAGTAATTTTCATGGATGACGTCCACTGCGTGGAGACCTTAAATTTATGAAGGGCCAAAAAAAACTGATTACGATGCTTAGATTTGGAATATACTTACTGTGGGAATACAAAGGTTAGGAAGCAAATTGAATAAAAGAACAAAGTGTTACAACAAATGAAAACAGCAATAAATCTCGCCCTGTTTTGATTCTTTCCTTTCATCACATCTTCATTTTGCGACACTGTCGTGACACTCTGATCATAATACAGTAAGCAAAATTTTTTGTATTTTTTCCAGTAACAGTCCAAAATCAAATAGCTTACGGGGCCTAAAACGGCGACAGTGTGTCTGAGTAACAGTTCCAGAGATTCTTTTGTACTCTAGACCAAATTGATTTCTAGTATTAAAAAACGGTCGTTTATCTAGAAAAATGTCCCTCTGACGAAGACATGAGATCTCCGACCTCTAGTTCATTTCTTCATTTAGATGGTGTGCACGGGATTTCTAGTGTTTCTTAACCGCACAATGTTTATGGATAGAAGGGATGGCATTACCTTTATTCATCAAAGAAGAAGAGTTCGGATTTAAAAGCAAAAGGACCAACAGAGTGCCTGGGTGACTCTGAAAGCGGCACTTTCTACAGAAGAGCCAATCATGGCGAAATATTTTGACCTTCTGGCCTGTCACACCAATGTAGTCAGAGACAAAGGGGTGGTAGCAAAATAGGAGGGGCATTTATGGATAAACAATGGGCGCTGTCATCAATCAAAAAATAACTGGAGGGGATAATTAACAAAACAAAAGACGCTGTGAGTCAGGAACGAGGCGCTTTGAGTCAGGTAGAAGTGGTAACGAATTTAGGCCACCCGATGTGGCCTAGAACTGGACAATCTTTATCGCACAGAACAAAATGAAAAAAAACACAGAATATGTAGGCTGGCCAATAACAGATGAACTCATAAGTTGTCATTAATTTTCTATATCCGTTATTATCAAGAATGTCCTATAACAAGAAGTGAGTATTAAAATGGCTGTTTTAAGTCGGTGTTGAAAAGAAAACGAACACAAAGCACCGAGACTGGGTCTAAGTTTTTCCAGTTTGTTAATTTCACTAAACAAAATGAATAATGCAAATAAAAACAGCGACCATTCCATTCATGTTTTCTCCAGTAGGATTTATTGAATAAACTTCGTGAAAGATTTACTCATCAACCTAGCGTGCAATCCAGTCTTTTTGCTGCCACTGAAAACTCCAGTCTTCAGTTCATCCGTTAGGCTGCACTGGTTATAGGAGTTAGCGTCGCTTTCGGGTATCTGTAAAAAAGGACAATTCACAAAGCTTAAACAAAGAAACACAAACTAGTAGCAGCAGGAAAATAAGCATAACTACTACTATCTCAACCAACGTTGAGGCCGGGAATAAAAATTTTTAGCACATGCATGTTGAAGCAACTTCTTATCTGCGGATTTCTTGCACAATAAGAACATGTCAAATCATGTATGGCAACGCATATGCAAAAATTGTTCAAGTCAACTATATGATTAGCAAGAATCAGAGCCTCGCGACAAACTGTGCAGTGCCGAACGTTAACATACAAAATTTATTAACTCCTTATTCTGTGATACTTTTAACAGTCATATTGGAAAAACTGTGGACTTTTTTGTCCCCATGTCAATTAGGGCGTCACATCAATAAAAAAAAACCCTTAATATAACATATTTTCATTTGGACGAATAAGGGAAGACTGTTACATACAGGAGTCTTGCAAGAAAAAAAGGAGCAAAAGTGAGATTAATTTCTTACAGTCTTCCTCCTCCTGGAGCTCCCGTGCCTCCAGCTCATCACGCTTCTCGATGATGTTCAGCAGTTCCCTCGCCTTTTCCACAACCTCCCTCAGCTCCAGCTCTGCAATATCCGCTGGAAGGATGGGCACAGAACAAGAAACAGTCATGCGTTCAAATATCAACCAAGTTATTAACCAAGAATTGAGGTGTTCAAAAAGTCATCTTTTCTAAGAACTACCGTAGTAGAGCGGAACTCGTTGCCTGCACCAAGCACAGTAGGGGCATCATCACTAGAGAGCTTTATAAACAACTTCTGTAGTTAAATTTGCAAAGATTGAGTGTAACAAGTCGTTTAGTGTGACGTAGCTAGCTGCCGCCGCGCCAACGTTTTGCAAATCAGAAAAAAATGAAGTGGGCGAATCCGAGAAGCTAAGTACTGCTGCTATGCTGACCCACTGTTTTTTGAATGAAGAATAAAGAAAAACAACTAATTAGATTAGTATGGCCTAAGCGAATGTTTCAAAAGTCCAAACTTATAATATATTACCTTCCAACTTGCTTGTACTTCCACTCCACAATCCCTCGCTGTCATCAACCAGCATCGCCACAACAACCGTCACAAGCAGCGCGCAGACAAACAGCTTCATGGTGCAGTTTCACCTGAGGGTGAAGGAAAAAGGTTTGAGTGGATATTTTCAGATGCATATTAGACTTTTAAATATGATTTTTAATCATTAACGATTGTCACAAGCAGTGTGCAGACAAACAGCTTCATGGTGCAGTTTCAACTGGGGGGATTAAACGAAATAAACAGGATTATTCTAAACCTAGGCACGACTATTTCATACATACAAAACCACGTGGGAAAGCGTACGTTTGTATATAAAGGGAAATGAATTTGAGTTAAATGTGAGTCAAACTATACCCTCGAACACGCCCGAACACTGCTGACTTACTCCCGAACGGTTGGCTGGTGTTCTGCTGACCTGTACATGTAGGGCCGAATAACAGCCAACCATGGTTTTATCTGCCACCCAACCCTCGAAGTTTTAAACATTTTGAAACATTTGCAATTGGCAAAGAGGTAGTAGCAAATCAAGAAGGGCTACTTAATTTAGAAGCCGAATTCACCGAACACCAGCCGACTTTGCTCCGACTTACTCCTAACCATGGTTGGGTGACGTTCGGCTAGTGTCCGGGATGTTAGATTTGTGAAATTGTGACGGGCTGAAGCACTGCATATTCACATGCTTCTGAAACTTGTTACTAAATGTAAACACATGTGCAGACAGCACACAGATAGACTTAGCTGGTAGAGTAACTTGGTAAATACCTTAGGTAAGTCCCTGGATCGTCAGATAACTCGTCTGAAGATGTCAGAATGGCTCGATGAAAAAATGGAGACGGGAAGCAAAATATGTACTCTTCCACACTGAGATTATGCAAATGAGAAATAAGTGGTTACTTCTGATTGGTTGGTGCATGTAGCCTGGTATAACGTCATTGAGGAAATTATAAGTTGACCTCAATATCAACTTACTGGATAAGGCCACAGCAAGTAAATTTTATGCATGACATCCTCCGCAGACTCCAAATCTAATGCGATAGGGCGAAAAAAAGGCGGGCCAAAAGAACAAGATTCCTACATTTTCACATTTTGACATCATAAAACTAGAAATGATACCTATATTGAGCTACGTTAACTGCCAACTATTACAACATCCAACTTACTTGTCAGCTGTGCATAATACCCAGCAAACATGCAGTTTTTGCACAGCTCATGACTTCTGGCGCACGGAAGTATTGTTGGCTAAGCTGTGAATCTGCGTATCTATTTGGCTGGAAAGAATAGCACCCCTGTTATCCCATTAAATTACCAGAAAGAGATTTAGAAATTTTCTATTTGGTAAATTAACGTGTTTTTTTTTCAGTGAAATATATTTCAGTACTAAATAAATGGGATAAGTATTCAGATCTCGACAGGCCCTCTTTACTAGTAGGCTCCCTGTGATAAGAAACAAAAGATGTGTCTTCTCATCACTCATAGATCATCCCATCACTTGCAGGTCACTTGTTTCTTCACTCTAACTTTAGCTCCATAATTACATGCTGTATTGTGTTTTTTAAGGTTTGGCCTGTGGTAAAATATGTACCCTTCCACACTCTGACAGCAGAATTCATTATTCTCTCGTTCTTTTCATGCTTATCACCACTCCAGCCTGAGGCAGATCAGGTGCATCATGAAACACCTTTGACCGGACGTCGACCCCTCAACCAGCTCGCTCCTGCTAGAGCATAGGCCACCGCCTCTGGGCTGTCTACCTCGACTGAGGGATACGCATCATATCAGTAATTACATGTGCAACGTAATTTAAAGGCATTGTATTGGAATGCGACTTAAGCTGGGCTTTTCCAAACGGTTGTTTGAGAACTGCTCAATCCCATCGATCAGTAGCAAAACACGATACAACCTGTCATTCCGTCTACTACCACAAGACCAATTAGCAGGACCAATTATATTGCTTATCTGTTTGGATCTAATGACTTCTTGAATACACTGTATACTGTATACTTTTCCCTCTACTTCTCTTCAATTCTGCTCACAAATGTGTTTAGGCTCAGGACGTGGAGTTAGCATTTATTAAGTAACATTCCAAGTCCACTCAAATTTTGAATCAGAAATAATCCAATAGGAAGATTTTTTTCTCCAAAGAAAATTAGGACTGGGGACTGCTCACACCCTGGGCAGTTTTCTGTGCCACCGAGAAAATTACAGTCTTCATTGTCTTCTTCAGAAGGACTATGAAATTGTCTCGCCGCATTGTGGGCGACTGCGGATTTTGTGATATAACTCTGGCAGGCATGATTGGACGTCCATGATTTTTGGCAGGCAGATTACCGTTGTTAAGGCCAAAGTCAAGTACAAGTTTCGGCTTCGTGGGGGGTCCGTGCGTCACGTTAGTGCACCTTTTGTGTTTGTGGCTTGTGAGCGAAATAACTCAAGTATTTGTAAAATGTTGCTTGTAATTTTTGGTGGGCAGATTACTATTGTCGGGACCAAGGTTAAGTTCGTTAATGGTCTTCGTGGGGGGTTTCGTTGTCACTGCGGGGGGTATTTTCTTAATTTTCTTGTGAGCAGGATAACTTGTGTATATGTGGATGGAAGTTAATGAAATTTAGCAGTGTTGTGTGTTCGATGAGCTAGGTTACAGTTCTGAACAGTATTTCTTTCATGGTGAAGTTTCCTTGGATTTCTCGGTGTCGAGACCCTAACTATATGGTATGTGTTTATTTTTTCCCTTTGCTTACATTAGTTGCGTATTGCAGTAGTATGTTTTGCGTACAAATAGTGAAACGTCAAGTGGTCGGCGTTACTTTGCGTCGCAAAATGTAGGATAATGCGTTATGGAAGGTTTTGAGGGGCGGTCCTATAAGTACTGTCATGGAGGGGGAGGAAAAGTTGGACATGTGTCAGGTCATTCCCTAAATTGTAAGGCCAGACCAAGTAATTTTTATGGATGACGTCCACTGCGTGGAGACCTTAAATGTATTTCAAAAGTGCGATAAAATACATGAAGAGCCAAACAAACTGATTACGATACTTATATCTGGAATATACTTACTGTGGGAATACAAAGGTTAGGACGCAAATAAAGAACATAGTGTAACAACAAACGAAAACAGCAATAAATCTCGCCCTGTTTTGATTTCCTTTAATCGCATCTTCATTTTGCGACACTGTCGTGACACTCTGATCATAATACAGTAAGCAGAATTTTTTGTATTTTTTCCAGTAACAGTAGTCCAAAATCAAATAGCTTACGGGGCCTAAAACGGCGACAGTGTGTCTGAGTAACAGTTCCAGATATTCTTTTGTACTCTAGACCAAATTGATTTCTAGTATTAAACAAGAGTTCCGAGATCTCATACCTCCATGAAATATGGGCTTGCTTTGTCCTCATTAATTATGCAAATAACCTCTACATTAATATAATATATGCATAGTGATGCAAACCTTTAAGTAACTTACACATGTTACGAGGTATAAAATTCCCATCATTCACCAATAAGGATTCACAGAATTTTCACATTGATTATGCAAATTAGGTCATCATTTGCATAATTGGTATCTGTTGATGTTCCGCCTGCCACAGATTAATAGATTACATGTATAGCAGTACCATTATATGAAACACTGTAATTATAGAATTTCCTCATGAATTATGCAAATTAAGTCTCCATTTGCATAATTTGCATTTAATCATGTACAGCTGTCTCTCAGGTACCTACACACCAAAAATGATGAAAATACGTTGTTCCAATCTGGACTTATTAGCTTTGAAAGTTTTACCAGAAACCAACCTGCAGTTCCAGAACAAGCTGCTAGGGGGACCAACTTTACGCCACTTATTCCTGACAGGAAAAGCTATCTGTCACCAAAAAGTCAAGACCATAGCTTGTTCAGGACAAAAGATACAAAAACCGGAAGTTCTGCTGCAGTACCAAGGTCATCCACCAGGAGGCCCATACTAGCTTGACCTTGACCTTTGTCTTTCCAAGACTTACCATCATACCAAATATCATCACAATCCATAAAGGCGTTCTGAAGTTATGCCGACTACAAAGTTGCGGAAACACACACAGACACACACACAGACAGACACACACACAGACAGACACACACACAGACATACAGACAGACACACCAAAAACAATACCTCCATTTTTCATGGAGGTAAAAACGGTCGTTTATCTAGAACAATGTCCCTCTGACGAAGACATGAGATCTCCGATCTCTAGTTTAATTCATGCAAATGAGGATCTTATTTGCACAATCAATAAGAAATAAAATTCGTCAATCGTAACATCATTTGGAAGATAATGAGGTCTTGGAAATTTGGCCGTTTTTTTAAAGATATCGCTATTCGTTGTTCCTCATCCTACCACAGATACAAAGGAGGAGCGGAGTTGCCCATCTTCCGACATCGTCGCAATATTCATCTGGCGGCCATTACTTTTTTTTTATTTAGAGCCTGTAAGTCTCTTTCTATGCCCGCCTTCGGAAGGCTAATTGCTTTTACATAGCCAAAGATACTATACGGTACAATACATCATCATCAGGTCGGGTACAATACAGTAATAGGTAACAGACAATTACTGACTGGAAAACACTTCTACTACTACGCTTGCTATTTTTATGAGGATTGTGACTAGTACATACTTAGTAGCCCGTGTAAATAGCGTATCAGCGCTCCCCTCAAAAATAATTGTCACCGCTCCACAAGTCTGATGACCTATTCTTGGGTAGTCATAGTATGGGATGTTGGGCGGCCGGCAACCGTAAAGCGATTTAATCAGGCTACCCCGCCCGCCAGCCAGCCAGCCGCCTTGAACTCACTACTGAACGGAGCCATAGAAGAATTGCAGTTTGCAACACTATGGCCTGCGTTAAAGCTATCTGGTCAAGACCTACTATTTTCCCATCTGACATCAACTCTGTGGAGCTGTACGTGTGTGTATGTAGATAGAGACTTCAGGGCTCCCACACTGTTCTCGCGTGCTTCGTGACGTTCCAGGAAACGCTCCTGACATAAAACGCATCTACTTCCGGTGCATTCCCGGAAAGGATTGACCGCGGAGGAAGCAGAAGGTCTGTGTGCTGAGGGAGGCTGGGTGTGGCAGCGATGTCGTCCTTGTTTCTCTGCGCGTTGGTCATCGTCCTCGCTTCGCAGGGATGTCAGGCGGCAAAAGGTGACTGATGTGATCTAATTGACTGTCTGTCGTACATATAACGTTTCGTTTATGATAGCATGAAAGCTCCGGTCATCTCAGTGCGCGGCCGCAAATCTATTAAATTCTGAACCGTTCAGAATCAGATTTGCGGTCAGGCACTGAGATGCAAAGAGCTTTTATGCTACCCTGTGAATTTTGAATTAATAAATCTCTTTTCTTGCAGAGGTCTAATTCCTCTTGTGCACTGCAGAACATTTTCACAATAACATGGAGCCATTTATGATTTTTTTATATATGCTTGATCCGGCCCAACAATTTTTAAATGTACAATTTGACCAGTCATTTGACTATTTCCGTTTAACGATATCTATGATCCGGGATCCCTCAAAACGGCGTGTCACGGGCTTTTTATTCGGGTTATAATAATTAGCGACAATACAGGCAGCCGCATGTTGGCATGTTTAATCCAACACGACGAAAATGGCAGTGGAAATCCTATGATGAGTGCACAGTTGTGAAAATACATTTCAACACTAAGTGCTGCCTGTGACTATTTTTGGTGACACCTCAGGGGCGAGCCGAATAGTTTGTAATCCCTTAATAAGAATTCTAGGAATTTGCCAGGAATGTTATACTATTATACATATGCATACAGCTATGTCATGCAAAATATGAAGTATTTATTGGGATATTTCAATTCTTAGTGATAATTTTCTGTCATAACTTTCTGTCCAGAATATTTCGTTAAACCTGGAAGTATGTTCATTAAAATTTGGTTGTGTATCTACCATGGTAATATTATTCATTGGGGAGGGTCTGCATGGGGGGGTCCTGGCAACGGTTAACAGTAAATTCAGCAGGTCTGACAACGATTAACGGTAAATTGATATGAATACTCCACTAGATTCGTTTTCTGAATTGGTGAGAAAGAGTGATTGCTGACGAAATATATGTAACGAAGTGTGCATTAAATGTACACTAGTGTTCCCTGTGCCCCCGCCTGCCTTGGTATGTCCCTGAGTGCATCCAGAAATGCTGGAGAGTGTGACCGAGAGCAGAAGGTAGGGGGGTCGGGCGGCATGCTCCCCTGGGAAATTTTGCATTTTTAAACCTTCAATAATGCATTTTCCTACATTTTGAGAGGCAAAGTGATGACGGCAACTTGAGGTTTGACTACTAGTACGCAGGTCTACACGTAACGAAGAATTATTCAGTAACGCTTAATGCTGAATTTAGGATGACAAATAACACTCTACGTAGAATTAAAACGATCAATGACGCTTCACGATGAATATACCAATAACACTGTTGAATTAGAGCGGGTCGGCAACGATTAACGGTGAATTAAAATAGCCCATAACGGTTAACAAAAAAGGGCCTGCAGGCCCTCATTGGGGATAACAATGTATTTTAGCATTACAAACTACATATTACTCTAAAAAGAATTCCAACATGCTACCACAAACATGACAATTTTGACACGTTTGAGAGCCACTGTGCAAACACATTTAAGGAGTACTAACCTCCAGAAGGGGGTGCTATATTCCGACAGGCATTGATTTTAGTAAGTGAAAAATGCACATTACTTTACAGTATACAATTAAAAGCCCATTTTGCGCGCAAGTCTTAAAACGCATCGAATCCAGGACAAACTCTCCAAATACTCCCAAAACTATCCCAGAATACAACACGCTACCCCATCTATGTTTTAAACAAAAAGTTACGTTACAGACCTTATTTTGGGGGCGATAAGAAAACTTCGTACCGTTTTGTGTTCTTTGGTATCCTACCAACCATTGCCCTTCTTGATGTCCTTATCGCCCCTTATTTATGCCGAAAATATTGACGATGAAAAAAACAGCATAATCTAGTTCTTATCCATAAGTGTCTTAATCTAATTATCTGTTCAATTAAATACTTAACTGTTACATGCAAATAAGTTAAAATCAAAACACGCAGGATGACACTGGCGCTCACTGCATTAGACATCCTGATGTTATAGTATTCAAGCCACAGGTCAAGCAAAGTAAAGCAAGCAATTTCTCAATAATCAGCTTGTTAGTGTGCTTGTCTCCTACCATTTTCGCCGAAAAATGTTTATGTTGACTTGAAGTGTATGAGTATTGCGTAAGCCAGAGTTCCCGGATGTATCTGTTGTGGTTCAGCATGGGGGAAAATTGATATTGATATCGCTTTAACAAACATGCGCCGCACAAGTCGTACAAGCAAAATTATGTGAAAAGTCGGCTAGTTATGTAATCATTGCAGCATGATGTATCGGAAAATAGCACTCCCTTCTGGAGGTTAGTACTCCATTAAAGAGCCCACCACAATGATATATCCTAACTGTGACTGCACACTTATCAAAATGAGTAGGGGTTCTTTCTAATGTTACAGTTACAGTCCAATATACATGCAGCCACACCTGGTGCTGTTGGGTAGCACTGAATGGCAGCAGCTCCAGACCCTTGCAATCCTGTGCCATTAGAAGGTACAAAACAATGAAGTCTGCCTACACCCCCCCCTCACTCCTCACTGTTGTATGACAATGTCCTGTCATGTAACATATGACAGCACGTGTACAGCTGCTAAACTGAGGACCGAACTTCTGAGGAAATCTTGATAAAATGAACAAGCCACTATTGAAGATTTTTGTGATTTTTGGCATTAACTTTAAACAGATCTAGTCTAAAGAGATGTACACAATCAAAAACATTTACGAAAGCTCTAAATATTTCATAGAGGAATGAGGTCTCCAAAAATGTATTGTTTTTTCCCTCTATTTCAGGCAGCTTCCTGTACATGTACAACATGTGTGGTCAGACCAAGAATGTTGGAATGAAGGATTCTGGGATTATAAAATGGAGGATTGGAGACGGGTACCAGAGTAACTATGACTGCATCATGACCCTGGCCTCAGCCGACCCCAGGCTCCGCATTAACCTGCGTATTGACAAGATTGACCTGCGAGGATCCAGTCTGGCATGTATGGATACGCTGACGGCTTACGATGGAAGGGGAGCCACGGGGAGGTCTTTATTTACTGGTTGTGATGATGATTACCTTGGAAGGTGGGTTGGATGTACCTTAACAGGTTGCAATGTTCATTTTATATATGTATGGTGAAAACCTTTTAGTTAGTCTATTGTAGATATATTCTCTGAAGGGCTACTAGTATGTGCTAAGTATATGTTCTCTGTCACTGGTCACAAAACAGAAGAAAAAAACTTTTAGAAAGTGAGTACTGTGGCTTCTCGTTGTTGCTAATGATTGAAATGTAAGAACAGATGGATTTTAATAATAAAGGGTTTATCAAGGATGCAATAATGTGAATTTGTCTGTATGACTTGAATGTAAAAGTGGGAAATACTAGTCCTGTGATATGTAATACTATCTGTCTAAAGAGCATCTGTTGTACAATGTAGATTCTTCTACACTCTGCTACCAGCTTCATTATAGTTTGTGATAGCTATAATATTGTTACCATAATTTATAATGTATGACTTTTACTTCTATTCTAAAGAAGACATAATGCTATGATGCGACATATTACTATTTCAATCAAACTTCTTTGTTATTCAAGTATTTTAATTCTGTTCTGGGTATGATATTACTGTTAATATCAGGAACCCAATTCTGCTTAATGGCTGCTAGAAGTGTCTTTCTGGCAATTGAGTGACCTGTGAATGAATATTTAAAACCATTACTACTAATATGTCAGCCACAATACCATATATACTGTCAATGCTAAAATAAGATTGTATGTTATACATGTAACATCCGTGTCCATAATATCACCAGGGTCCATAATATTGCCCCCTTGAGAAACAGTAAAGATATTTTTCCTGCAACATACTTTTGGTATGCACTCCTTCACACATCAAATGTACATACCTAGGGTACACTATTTCTCAAGGTGGCGATATTATGGACCCTGGTGATATTATGGACACGGATGTTAGGTTGGGGTCGGCCCTATGTTACGACAGCCCTATGTTACGACAGCCCTATGTTACGACAGCCCTATGTTACGACAGCCCTATGTTACGACAGCTATTGTTATTGTTATATGCTGTCGAACAATTGCTGTCGGCGCCTTTCGCATACGTTAATCTCATTAAAACCCGTTTTTCAAGTTTCCATCCGGTAAAATGTATCCACAAATATTTCTCCTCGCGATTGAACAAAATCATTTCGGATTTGAAAATTCTCTTTTGAGAGTTACGTTTTTGATGGTCTTGTAGCGGGCGGGTTGCATGAAAATCCACGCCGCAGTTCGCTGTCCACGCCGCGTTTCGCTGACACTTCTGGCTTGCTTGAATACGCGAAAGGCACCACAAATCGGCATATGGATACATACATTTTCTCAAAAATTCTTAATAATGAATTTCTTTAATGGAATGTTACTAAGTAGAGGTAGAAACACCGTAGAAAGTAGCGTAGTGTTATACCGGCGGTTACAATTAAAATAAATGATGCCGATGTTCGGAGTTTTGCAGCAGAATGTCCTAATTAAGTATTCCTGACGATACGTTGCCATTTGTAGCAGTGTTTTTTTTTGTCAATTCTTGTGAAAAAATGTGGAATGCTTGTGGACAGTTTCAACTTGTAAACAAGTATAAACAAATGCCCCGCCCCTCAGTTAATTTTCGCGACGTGTTCCATAACTTAATTAATTTTCGTGACCCGGCCCTTCCCAACTGGACGGCCTCTCAGGATCTCTCAGCTGCAGTTTGGCGGAAACACTGTCAGTGACAATATATAACGTGAAAATTTCCTTCGAGATCATTACACTTAATACATTTACAATTTATCATTTGGTGTCTGAACATATAGCCATAATCGCGTTGAAAAAAGGGGGCGTCAAAACATAGGGCTGTCGTAACATAGGGCTGTCGTAACATAGGGCTGTCGTAACATAGGGCTGTCGTAACATAGGGTATGAACCGTTAGGTTGACTTAAACAGAATTTACATTACCAGTTTACCACTCACTGTAGCCCGGCAAGTGAGGTGTTTCAAAGAGGAGTGTAATACCATGAAATATGAGTCATTACTTTCTAACCTCCTGCCTTTTACCCAGGAACATGGTGTATTCTAGCAGTGGGAATGCCGTGTCCCTGCGCCTGTCATCCACGCTGGGGTTTGGTAACGTCGGTGATGGTTTCAGGATTGCTTACAACACATTCTACGATGCATCTGTGTCAGGTAGGCCTACTGTAACATGTAATGCTAGTTAACCTTCAGAAGTTAATAGAACATTCATCAATCAGTGAGTGTTTTGAAAAGTAGAAACATGTACCTCCAAGTTTTCGATGTCGACTGTAGAACACGAGACTACATGTAGGTCGAGAGTTGTGCAATTCTTCTGCCTCCTTGCAGAGTAGGGGTAAATAAGACTTGGGCAGCTCCCAACCTTCATTGCGATCCATTCCAGCGCATTCCAACTGGATGTGGACTGCATCCTTGATCTTTCTATGAGCCTTACGGAATTCTTGGTCTATACTCTTATTAATGATGTCCGAAATAGGCCCGGTAGTGACCCTACTGTCCACTTTGAGTTCATGTGCGATCTACGTGTGATGAAAAAAATTCCCCCCTCCCCCCCAAAAATGATGCTCCCGGAACGCCTGCAGAGGAGGTCACTAAGTCAGGTTGTAAAATAGGAAAGTTTGTATTTGTATAACAAAATCAATGTATAGGGAAGAATATCATACAATAATACATTAATGCTATCTTTAGCTGGTAACGATTTGATTTTTGACAGGACATGATACTTGTACATAAACTGTTGTCCTGTGTGTGTGTATGTGATATGAACTTAACATACAAGGTACAATGTATGGCAGTAATACAACAATACTACAAAACTTTACTTACTACAAACTACTATCTAAACAGTATTTGAGTTACCATATGGTCATGTATTGATGATATGTTCTCGCTTATGGAATAAAGTGTACAAAAATTGGCCTACATAAGCAGATATGGTAGTTGGACATGACAATAATTCATGGAATGTATCATACTGTGTACCAGATTGGGTGAACTTTTTCTTTGTAGTAATAGTCTGTAACAATGTTACAGTATCTCTTTCTTTTCTATAGGTGGGACAAGTCATAACAAAATGAAATTCATCTTCAATACTCTCATTACATGTGGGACACAGTCTCTGAGTGGCTGGTGTGTTGTGGTGTCGACCTTTTTCGATTTGAAGACAATGTGCGCTGATTCTCAGTTTTGTTATGCTACTTGCGAACGATTTATTATAAATTGATGTGAGATAATCTTCCATGCCAAAATGCTTTTTGATTTTAGAATATGTATGAAGTTTACTAGTGTTTCTAAGTTGTTCTCTCCAGCCAGAAAGAAACGTGCCTTTCAGACGCTCTTTAAATATGATTCCAAAACGGTTGGCATTAACTGCGGGGTTAACCCAAACATTTTGGAACCCATGCTTACATAAAATGTCCTGAATGTGAGAAGCCCAGTCATGGTCTTCTTCAACTGAAATGTCGTATGCTTTTTTAACAAGCCTATCATTTGGTAAATTATTTAATCTTAACCAATATTATGTGTGTGTGTGTGTGTGTGTAGGAGGGAGATGCCAGCCAGGCGAGTTCAGGTGCACCAACAACCGCTGCATCGACCAGGCACTGAAGTGTGACATCGATGACGACTGTGGGGACAGAAGTGACGAATCTGAAAACAAAGCTGAAGCTGGCTGTGGTATGTACTAACATGTACCCCCTCATAGATAAGATTTAGCCCAATTTCCACAGGTTATTGCATACAGATTGTATTGTTGTTATAAGATTTTCTGTTTTTCCACTAATTTACATGGAGATCTATAGTCATTTGACCATGTCATGGCTAGCATTGTGGAACTCCTTTTCATAAATAAGGTAGGGCTTCAGTCACTTCTACAATGTACCGTGTGTGTTGAATCCACACAGAATGCTGCTGCCCTTATGTTTGGGTTATTAAAGTGTAGTAGACTGATCGTGGAATCCCAACAAGCTCATGTACTAAAACTGATGTAAATGTAATTATTGCTCCTTTATTTAAATCAATTTAAAGGCTTAAATCAGCTGAAATTGTCCAATTGCACAATCTTTTCCAACTTACAATTGTCAGCTAAATGCATGTGAGTATAAGAATATCTGTTGCACGAAGCCCCATGATAAAGCACATTTTTACGTTTACAGAGCTATCTCTGTCTCTGTTTCTTTTGCAATTACTGCAACCTTAACCCCTAGGACCAGTAACACTACACTTAAAATCAAGTAAGTATATTGTGTGAATCAGTTTTGTAGCAGCATTGATTTCTCCCATGCATGGTTGTCACAACATCCTATTTTCTGCATGGACATTAACGATGCACACCTGGCACTCGTGGCAGTGCACATTCTTATAATATGCTACAAAATTATATTTACTAACGTGGCTGAAAAGTGTTAAGAGTGGTGTTTTTGGAGGTGAAACTTAATTTTCACCTCAAGCCTTATTCCTCTGCATTGAAACTGAAGCGCCTGTTTGACCCAGATTTAGTTCTGTGGTGTTGTGTTGTGTAAGGCCATGTTTATGTGAAGTCACCCAAGGCGCTTTACATGTGGTTTACCCCGAAGCCGGTTCCAAGTGGCTCCATCTGAACGCTCCAAATCGCATTGAAAACGCCTCGATCCCAAACCACTTCTAGAGGTGGTTTTGAATCGGTTTTTCCGCACCGCGATTTGCGTCTGAAAGCAATGTGATTTCAATGTGACTTCGCCTGGTCATGGATTACAGGCTGATATTTCTTTATTTATACGCAATACCAAATTTTACGTGGCAGCAACTTAAGGTCTCGGACCGGAGTTTCCCTCCGTATTTCGAGCAATTTGACACCCTCAGCCCGACGGGCTGTCATTTCTGTACTAAACGCGGGTTGGAATTTTTCACTCTTTTGGTGGAAAGGGGTGCCGTGCCGCTTATCAATACACTTGATTGATATTTTCTGCGCCCAATTTATTTAGGGGTAAATGAGGCACATCAAAGTACATTTTGAAAAAAGGGGTCATTTTTTTCGTCATTTTTAACCATGGCTGCATGGAAAAAACGAATTTTCCCAGGGTAACGGCTTAGTACTCGAAGAAGCTCAGAACCTAATGTTTCCAAAATTTGAATTTAATTAAAATCGATGCGATAAGTTTATCGCTATCTTCGATGGCCCGAACACACCCAGAACGCATATAGAACGTACCATCCCGGCGGTCAGGCGAAAAGGCCACATAACCATCCGCGCGGACGAATACCAGGAAGTCTTAGCTGGACCACCAACATTACGCCACCTATAAAGGCTACAACTAACAGGCTTTCCAGAAAATACAAAGATATGTACACAGATATTACGATTTCAGGGATTTTGTGGCCAAAACATACCATACAAAGTCACGTTTCCGGCGATTTACTGCGCACTTACTTAGACTCTGGTCAGAATTAAACTCCGACCCGGAACCTTAAGGAGATTAATTTTCATTGAAAAAATTTAATATTCTTCAGAAACATTATATCTATCATATATCCAAATTTGGCTTGTATGCGATCATTACTTTTCCCGCGGCAGCGGTTTAAAGTCATGTGAAAAACACTGTGTTCTATGGCTACTTTTGCCAAGACGCGGCCCCTAGGCAGCATTACAATGGAGAAATTAAAAAGTACCGTTTTTTTGGGGTTTCGCTTTTTTCAAATCAGAAAAAATGGAAGGAAACACCCGCTCTGGTCCTTGGCTAGGGATAGATGTGGTTTTATCGTCCTTTCTGTGCTGCATACTTGCGGGAAACCTCTTTAAAGTTGGGATCGATGACGTCACGCAGTGACGTCATGCGTTGTCCAAGTTAAACAGCAGGGGGTCGCGTTTTTGCTTCACCGCTTTACATTAAAATGAAGAATACGTCAGATTTTGACCTTGAGTGATAGAACTGAGCTCGCACTTTCCGAATCAAACGAGTCCGACACCAAACTCTTCACTACTTTGCCGTGAATGGCCTATTAAGTAGCACAGCGCACCTTAAATGTGTGAAAAACTGCATTCTTACGAGGCGCAAAACACAATCTGGGTGATGCTGCCGTGGCTAGGAGCGATTAGTTGAAAAAATTGCTGCAAAGTTGCGTGAAGTACTTATTAGGCTACCACTTAACACCAGCCAACGAAAAGAAGTTCGCGATTTTAAGCAGCCCTGAACCGAAAATCAGAAA